GAACTCCTTTTGTTTGGAATACATTTTTATTTGCTCTAGTACAAATATATGGGAATATAAATCATATTGTAAATTCTGGTTTATTTTGCTTCATGTTTTATTTGTAATTCATTTGCTCTAATATTCTTGAACCAGTAGAAAATGCTCTAGATATTTGCAATTCATTTCTTTGGAGGTGTTTTTTAGATAAACATTTATCTGATAAATACTACTTTAAACATTTTTTGCTTCTCCTATTTGGTTGGATGTTTTATGAGTGTTTCAAGTAACACCCCATAAAGTTTCTTTCTACCACAGATAAAATCTGCCACATCAGCATTTCATTTCAAGAAATGCTCAGGTATTGGGAGAAACATGAATTTGACATTTCCCCAGATGCCCCATTGACATAAATCAAAACGTGTCAGTTTTCCAGTATATATTTGATAAAGGTTGAAACCAAATAGTGGTTTCATATAAGCCAATGAGTGGAAATAGGAAAGAGGAAGGAGTTAGAATTGGCTAAAAGAGAGAGYCTGAGAGAAGAGGGGTCTAGAAGGCAACGTCTGTCGAGTGAGGGGTCTTTCTRTAATTTATTATTTATATTTCTTATTTATTATGTAGAGAAGAACTTGGTTTTTAGAATGTTTTAGTACATGCTTTCCTGGGTTGATAATTAGATTGGACTAGATCAGATGCACTTGCCATGTTTATTGTGATTTGGAAGTCTATGTTCTTATAAATGATTTTGCAATATGTGTGTATGTTTTTCTGCACATTATTCTTCCTTAAATTTAGACAAATTCTTTTTTATGGTTCAAAGTCTAATATTTAGCTTAAGCAAATCTACTTAAATTGCATCTCTATTTTATAATTTTTCTCATTTTCATGCAGGTATTGCCTTTGGCATCCTATTTGTGCTATTTGTCAATTTTCTATATTGGGGAATTAAGAATAGAAAGCAAAACATACGTAGAGAAAAATTCTTTCAACAAAATGGAGGGCTTCTACTAAGGCAACAACTTTCTTCATATGATGCAAGTGTGGAAGTTGCAAAGATATTTGCAGAAGAGCTCAAAAGGGCAACTAACAATTATGATGAGAGTCGAATCCTAGGTTGTGGTGGCTATGGTACAGTATATAAAGGAATTTTACCTAATAATAAGATAGTTGCCATTAAGAAGTCCAAAATAGTTGATGAAAGTCAAGTTGAACAATTCATCAATGAGGTGGTTATTTTATCTCAAATTAACCATAAAAATGTGGTGAAACTTTTAGGTTGTTGCTTAGAATCTGAAGTTCCATTATTAGTTTATGAATTCATTACTAATGGGACATTGTCCCACCATATTCATGATGAGGGACACCAATCTTCAATTTCATGGGACAACCGTCTAAGGATAGCCACAGAAACTGCATCTGCGCTTGCATATATGCATTCTACAGCCTCTCCTCCAATCTTTCATAGAGATGTTAAACCTTCCAATATTCTTTTGGATGATAATTATATAGCAAAGGTATCGGACTTTGGTGCTTCAAGATTAGTTCCATTAGACCAAACTCAACTTACAACATTAGTACAGGGCACAATGGGGTACTTAGACCCAGAGTATTTTCAAACAAGTCGATTGACAGAAAAGAGTGATGTTTATAGTTTTGGCATTGTTCTTGCAGAACTATTAACTGGTAGAAAAGCACTTGAATTCAATAGACCTGAGAAAGAAAAAAATTTGGCTCTTTATTTCATTACTTCAATGGCAGAAGACAATGTTTTGGATATTTTGGAGGAAAGAGTAGTTTATGAAGCCACCATGGATCAACTCCGTGAAATCACTAAACTTGCAAAGAGATGTCTTAATATGACGGGAGAAGAAAGGCCCCCAATGAAAGAAGTAGCGACAGAGCTGGATGGATTGCACAGGTCCAACAAGCATCCATGGGATGAACCTCATGAAGAAGTAGAATGCTTGCTTGTTGATCCATCAAATTAATGAAACTGCAATAGTACTACTGATTATGATAACTTGGGAGATCAAGTTGTAATATCATTAAATAGAAATAGTGGCGGCAATGACTAATTTTATAAAGAATCTTTGCTCTATTGGTTTCTTCTTGTTAATTATATATATGATTTCTAATATTTTAGATGTGAAACTCTTACATTGATAGAAAGAAGAATAGGGACTTTTTAATATAATAGCTAACTGCTGGTCATTAGCTACTGCATGAATTAATTTTCTTTTTATTTTTTAAGTGATTGTCTTTTACTCTATGCTATAAAAAATCTTTTCAGAAACAACTAAATTTACTAGTTACAGTACTGGCATAGGTGCAAAGTTTTAGTTAGAATACTTACAATAACATAATTGCATAAATTGAGTGTACTATCTGGCATTTTAATTTTGTGTATGTAAACCTCTAATATAGAAGTTGAAGGCGATATAAAAGGTGGAGAAAGTGGCATCTGATTATGGAACGTTTAGAGAATGACAATTTGAAGATCAAGCCCTGTAATTCTTGTATTATTAGTAGAGTTGGTTCTCTATCATCTTTAAAGCATTTTCTTGTTCATGTTGGTTTAGCATATAAGATGTAACTTCGTTAGCAGGTTGTGCTTGTGAATCCAGGCGAAGGTAAAGAAGGTTTTCTGTAGCTTTTCTCTCGCTGTTCTGGTTGTTGTGTACGGTATTTTAGGTTGAATTTTTATACAATGATGGGCTGCATAAGCTATCCTATTCACTATCATCCTCACTACAGCAAGCTTTTACAGACCTTGGTATCCACTTGAATGTGCAACTCAGATTGGCTTTCAATGTCCTAGCTTCTCTTAATTGGTTCCATAGATATGGCACAATGCCATTGCCATGCAGACTGTCGTTTGGCCATTGATCAACCTCCGGCCTCTATATATTAGGGCAACCTAGGACTAGTTTTCTCTAGGGTTACACAGATTACGATTGCTGGCCAATGGACATAAAAGGATAACTGCAGTTTGGGGAAACAATAATGCTATGCTGATTAACTATATCTTGAATATCAGAGATACGTTCTTAGTATTTGGTCCATCATGGGATGTAGTATCTGGCAGGGAGAATCTAGTGTCTGAATACTAGGTTGGTGCTTTAATGCACTGCACGTATACGGACCAATCAAAATGAAAATAGAAGGGATTGTACATATAAGTTGACATGTTGAGGAGGCTTGGCTTTGTATGATGGCAAAATCATGGGCTGACCAGGGATTTGAGCTTGGGAGCACCTACCTACGTGCAAAAAATACCAAAGTTGGGTCATTGTCCAGTCTACACTTCTCAACAATCAACACATTGGATAGCAGGGGCCATCATTGGGTTGTGTCCCTTTATGTACAAGTTTTGATGGGTTAAGTACAAGATCATGAAACCCTTGTCTCAGTGATTTATTGATAAAAAACCATGTCTTACTGATTCCTGCTTAACAAATCTACAGACACAATCTTTTATTATTTTCTACTAATATGCTTTATTCTATTTCTTGGAATAAAATCCCAAGAAACTTGAACCAGAATCTTTGCACAAACCATGAATCAGGACCATGGTCAAATGTACTTGGTTGTTTTGTGTCCAACTTCTCTGGAAAATGTATCTTATCATGCTGAATTGCTATTGCTAATTTTTGGTCTCAAAGATCTCATGGGGATCCATGGAGTGATGGTTTCGAATCCACTCTATATACCATTAAATGCTTAAACTTGGAAATTTGAAGCCAACTTGATAGCTATTCTGTGATCTGTTTTTTTTTTTTTTTTTTCCCTGCCTCTGGACCCAGAATTTGAATTATTATTTATATCAAGAATGCATGGATCAAGGGAATGCCTTGATTTGGTGAATTCCTAGGGGACAATCTTGAGTTAAAATTTCTATATTACATTCGATCATTTTATTATTACTTATCTTCTGTTCTCAATTACACAATATGCAGGTTACCCAACTTGATCTCCACAGGCATTTTCATGCCCTTGGTGCTGGAGTGATAGAAGAAGTCAGGGTGCAAAGAGACATGGTTGTTCTTCTCTAATGTTGCTGTGCTCGTGGGGTAGTAAACCCACTCCACCAGAGACAATCTCAACTCCTCTGCCCCCACCTACTGGTGGTCCTTTGCCTATGCCAGGCCTTTCACTAGCTGAGCTTTTGGCCTACGAGAGACAGTTGGCAATGAGCAAGATGGCTGGTGCCCAGGCACTGATGCACCCCCAGGGTCAGCATGCACTCAAGCAGGCAGCTATGGGACAATGAATGATCTACTCTGACTCAAGAAGAATTAAAGTTGGAAGAACGAACTGAGAATGTAATCATTGTCAGACACTAGGAAGTGGGAACATATAAGGCCCTAAATCGTTTCCTAATTTGAACTACAAATCAAAAAACAATAAGAGAGCATGTTGGAAAACTGAAATCAGAAAGAAGAAGAATAATCAACTTCGAAATATAATTCAACCAGTATCCAAATTCAAGCAGAGCAATAAAGAAATCCAAATCCAAATTCCTAAGGGAAAGCAAACACAACAAACTAATTCACTTCATCCCATACCCGCACGTTGTGATACAATAAATCTTAAATACATGAAGAAAACAAACTATCCCAAATTCATTTCTCTTCCCTCTTCTCTTGTTTTCTCGTTGCATCATCCATTAGTACTTTAGAGAAGAAATCTTGCAATGAATCTGATGGTGTGCAATCCGGATGCTCCTAGCTGTAGGGCAGCCCAGATGCCTGTCGCCAAGTAGGTCGCTCAAACTGCATGGAAATGGAGGTATCAGAGAACCCAGGGTGGCTAACCCGGCGAGGTCGCTCCGATGCTTAAATCAGTAATAGTATATGCAAGCTGAGACTTTGAGAACAAGGAGAGATAGAATACACTAAATCGTGCGTACTTAGGTCCTGGGGGGTTGATGCCCTTATATAGTTGAGCTGTCGTGGGTCTCATGAAACGACTCTGGGATCCTCAGCCCACGTAGATGAGATCCATTTCCGCTTTAGAAGGAGAGTAACACACCGGTCAAAGAGGATAAGGCCTGTCGTTACGCGACATGATCTCGGATATTCGGAGTATGCTAAAAAGCTTTTGGAGTTGATTACGTGTCAGTTTAGTACTTGGGTGTCGAACTGGCTTTGGTGCTGAGGTGTCCGAACACTTGGGCTCCCGAACAGTTGACTAGGCTCCCCTTGCTGAGTTGTCATCTTGTTGGTAGGTCATGTCCACGTGACCTACCCCTCATCAGAACCTATTGACTACAAAACAAATGTGTACGGATATACAAAGAGAAGATGAATCAAAACTGAGTTGTTGAATATAAAAGAAATCATGGCCTTATATAATCTTAGAAATGGAGACACCTATGAATCACAGAATAAAATAGGAGTAGATCCATCGGTGTATGAATATTTTGCAAACATGAACTATACTCACCGATTGCCTGGATTTGGTGTGAAAATCCATTAATGGAAGCAGTGAAGTAGATTGATCCCAAAAAAGAGTAGGAGCAGATCTAAAAAAGATAAAATCAGACAGTTAGTGAAAAAAAAAGAAGGAAGAAGATTCAATGAGTGGGTAGTTGATTTCAAAGAAGGAGGAGGAGGATAATGGTTTAGCAGTGGTCTTACCTCGCTGGAGGTTGGTTCGGCCTTCTATTCAACGATGGAAGATGGTGATGGAATTCTCCCTGTTCGGCTCTCCCAATCTCTTCGATTGGATTGGAAAATGAGGAGGGAATTTTTGTCCCAAAAAAAAAAAGATATTCATATCTGGAATGAGAATCACATTCCCTGGGGAGGGGTCAGGAGTGGCCATTCCCCCATAGAGTGACCATTACCCCATACGAGTGATTTCCATTCCCCTAGAATGGAAATGGGATTCCGATTCCTTCAAACCAAACATTTGGTATCAGAATGGATCATTCTGATTCCGATTCCGGACCCTTATTCCTTGAACCAAACAGACTCTAAGACTACTTTTCTGCACCAATGGAAGAGGGAGGAATTGGTTTCCCAAAGCCAGCTCTAAAGAACAAGGCCTTAGTAAGATTTCGTAAGGAAGAGATGCACTTTGGGTTAAATTTCTCAGCTCAAGGTATCTTGGTGGAAAATTGATCTGCCAACCAAAGGAAGGCTCAAATTCCTCAAGTCTGTGGGCTAGCCTATTGGACTGTAGGCATGATCTAGCGAAGGGTTCCACGGGTGAGATCTTTCTCTGGTGATGTTGTATTGGGGCCCTCCCCATCGGCGATGTTGGATCCCTTTCATATATTAAAATCCTAGGTATTTGCACTTGGTTGCATCCAATAAAAGAAGAAGGAATCGCATACATTGGCTGTAGTTGACTAATGGTGATTAGATCACTGATGAATGATAGATTTCACAGCTGTTAATTATTTTATTAAGCTATTTACTTCATCTAATACTGGTTTGTCTACTATTGGTTTGATCTATATTTCACCTTTAATTTCCAATGGAAAGAAACATTTTCTTGTGGCATACCTTTTATGGAGGGGATCGAATTGGTTCTACCGGTAGAGGGTCTAGTGCAATGATACATGGCAAAAACCGATTAAAAGAGCAAGTTATGGCCATTTCAAAATACCTTCACTATAGGAGGGAAAGTTATGGACAATACTAACCTTGCTAAGCAATTAGTCCTTTCAAATCGAATGAAGGCAAGCATGGTACTGTTTGGTTGTTCGATGAGAGGTTTTGCGACTTAGGCGTGGTTCCTTGTTCGATAACACTAAAGTAGTGTTTTGTCCGTGAGAATAAGGGTCTGGAATCAAAATTAGAATGGGTCATTCCGATAACAACTGTTTGGTTGGATAGAATCAGAATTCCATTCTCATTCCTGATAGAAAGCCTAGAACGACATTCCTCCATTTAAAGGAATGATCATTCCCTCTCCCTCCTTTGAKAGTGAAATTTTATTCCTGTTGATTCTAATTTCCCTTCCAAACCATTTAGTATTTGTTATTCATATTATCAAACTATTGCCACATTAGCATATTTCGTGCTTGGTGTGGTCAAAGAAAATTTAA